ATCCTCGTCACACCAAACATGCTCGCCCTTTCTGCCGTGGGGCGTTATAATGTGACGGTCAATCCCTCGTTAGTAAAAGAGTAGCCCAAGAGTTGGTGGTGGGTGGTGATGACTAGATGCCTTCACTCTAGTCTTACACTGCTAAATTAGGGACGGCTAGCGCAGATAGCCCTCGTGTTGCTCTGCGCGAAATTCAAAAAACGAAACGAGTCTACAGCATCGAAATAATTAAAAATATAAAAGTGTACACAATTTACAAAACTTGCAGAAGGTGGATACTCCCATGAAACCAACGTGTCCGATGTATATTTTAACATCTAATTTTCAATAGGCTAAAGAAAAGAATTATAACGTACTACTGCTGTTCATGCGGGTTTCCAATTATACGAACTGAACCGAGACATAAATTTAACGCTAGGAGGATCCTGGCAAGTCCTTTACGTTTAGAGAGGTAGTTTAAGCAATAAGCGCATTTATGTTTTTCAGTATCATTACAAAACGATGAATATATGTTTATTTATGAAACTCGGATATTTCGAAATAATTGCTTCCATAATTCCATTGTATTTTAGACAAAACACTTTTCAGAAAACGTTTACAGATCACAAGTTGTTGACACTGTTATTTCCTTTACTATTTAAAAATATTTAGTGTTAAACAAATATGCATTATATTTTACTAAACAAAAACTTCGTTCTAGATGTTTGTAAATCTTTCTTAGCACAGGATGAGAACGAATATTAGCATGGACATAAATTCTCAGAATTTTAGTGAAATTAAAAAAGTATGTTAAAATAAGTCAACTACACTACATTTGCCATATCCAGAGCTCATCAGGCCAGCTAGAAAAGTTGGTAACAATTCAAACTTTTTTCTACTCTGTCGAATTTCAACCCGAAATTTATATTTCTTGTTCTAGTCTTCGTTAGTCATCGTGTTGTTACGTTGTGCGTGTTCGGTTGTATAGAGGTCGCTGCCTTGCCTATAGGTTGGGATAGTTATTCCGTAGAAATTACTTACCCTCGGAAATAAAAGGTGTTTATATTCAGTTCTGTCTGTTATAATCTTTAAAAATTTTCGGTTAAGTGTTTATCGTTGTAAGCGTATCAAAGTTATTTGTGAAAATGAAACAAAGTATTTCATTTATACTGCCCTCTATTCACAGATGACAGAGTGAATATGTTGCATATCTATAATGTTCGTCGCTTAATCCTGGATTGAAGCTTTCCTAGTCCACTGATGGAGTCTAGACCTCCCTGGCTTATTAAACATATTTTCTCAACAATTTGATTACAATATTGACGGTATTTTTGTGTACTTTTTTCAGGGCCGTTTTATCCAATGGACAAAAAGGGGCAGATGCCCAGGGCTCATCGGGCGTTACGAGTATAATAATAAATAGTAAAATATAAAGTGTATAATAAAATAATAATAATAATAATAAACAAATCGTTTTCAATAATTTCTTCTCCTCTTTTTATTTCCTTTTATCTCTAATAATTTTAAATTGTATGATATTTTCTTAAAAGCAAGGGGGTCCACTAGTTTATAGTTCGCCCAGCGCCCACCAGTGCCTAAGGCGGCACTGACTTTTCTTTCATATGTATACACATATGATACTTGCGTCCCTGTAACAAACAAGGTCATGAACCCATAAATAATAACGTATAACCACACTATTTGCTAGTACAGTGGTAAGATTCTGTATGTAACTTAACACAGAAAACGAGAGTTTCCATCAAATATTTCTGATCAGCTTTTTTTACACTGAGTGTTATAACAGCAAAGGCATAACATACTCAATATGTTGCAATATGTGAAACCTACCAGTAGTGAAAGATATAAAAACAAGTCGAGGAATAACAGAAAGCCTGATGCTATACCAAGCAATGTAAAGCACACTTTTGGTTAACAAATGAACCAGTGTCGGCCATAGGTTTCATTAAATTATTACGACGTATTAAATATCAACAATAAGACTATCCTTTCCTCTTCTTTACTGTGTAACACAATAATTATTTTAATCTTGTAAAAGAAAGTTAACCTTTTTTTTAGTGTTCGAAATGCATATAAAGCCGGTGCTTAACTCCGGTTTCCTGTGGGACAAGTGGATGATAATGGTGACACATCATCCTTGGATGGAATGGCAGCTCATCACTAGTAACCATTAAACTGATGGTTAATCTGAATGGATTGGAGTAAAGGTAAACTACAAGCAAAAACCTCTTCTATATTAAGATTCCATTCGTTTTAAACCGACATTTATAAATTTATAAATGACCCAAACACAATAGCAGTGACAACAATAAAATTTTACCTCGGGGCCCATGAAATGTTGTGATGTACCTTATCTTACTGAAATCGGGTGAAGGTCACAAACGATAAACCAAACAATAATTGTTATTTTGTCCTTTGTTATACAAGTTAATAGCATTACTTTGGTCCAGTAACTCAATAGAACCAAGAAATATAAAAAATTTTATATGGTGTCTACCTCAGAAAAGTTGGTACTGGTATTTCCTGAACAGCACCTTTTGTAACACATGCCTAAATGTATAGACCAGAGATCCCTAACTTAAAACCGCAAACAAGAGGCTTTGTTTTAAGAATTTTGTGAAAAGCTACACTAAGGCTATCTGTACATAGCCTTTCCTAATGTTTGAACCAATAGACCAGAAGGAAGAATAGCTAGTCAACAGTGTCCACTGATAACTTTTGGGTTACTCTTGTCTGATTGAATAGTGGGATTTGACCATCACTGTTATAGAGCTCCTACAACCTAAAATAAGGAAAGCATTTTTGCTACAATGAGATGAGAACCGTTACTGAACCCTCTTATTCACAATTAAAGCATGCTAACCATCAAGCTATGCCTGACACCAACCAGAGAGAAGTCAACCAGTTAGCAGTACTTGCTGCCTATACAGCTAATCTTATGTGAATACCAGGATTCACTGTCATTTATAATGTCCCTACAACTCAAATGAAGAGGGTCTTCAGCAGTATATTGTCACTTAAACCCAGAATCTTCCAATCCAATTTGAAGCTTTGTACATTAATTCACACTGGACCTTATCACAAGAACAAAAAAGTACAATTATATGTAGTATGAATGTCTGGAAGCAATTCAACTACCAACTCATGAAAATAGTTTTAAAATTACATGACTGTTTTATACAATTGAAAACTTGCAAAACAATAACAAGTAGGTATGAAAGTAACTTGCCCATTCCACTACGTTTGTTTTTTTATTTTGTAGTATTCTTTTATAGGATGGCATTTTAGACAGTTACACTTACAAACTTAGTCTTTTCAATGTCATCAGGTAAAATATATTGACTAGTTAGTTTGGGATGAGATGTGTGTCATAAAGTAGTTTTCTCATATAAATCATATGTTAAAACAATTGCAATAAGATGTAACTTTTGTGTTAGTATATTAGTGCTTCTAATATTAACTAAGTCTATGATATAGTAAAAGAAACAACAAAATAAATTATAGTTTAATACATAGCTGATATGATTAACCTAATGCTATTTTCAAACTTAAACTGTCAGGGATGGAGAAACATGTACACAGTTAACTCTCTCAACACGGGCTCGGTCAATTTGTTAATGGACAACATTTAAAATGTAAACTGTGTCCTGCTGATAAAGCCTTCTATTTTCAGCTGTATAAGTAACCTGTTCTGGTACATTACTAGGGAAAATAAAAACGATAGTTAATATTCTTATTTTGTAATATAAATTAATGTAATGCCATTGTCATTGAAATTACACCATATACGTTTAGTCAAAAATTGTAATTCACAGAAACACTTAAAAACCACTGAATTATAAACCATTAGCATAACTTTACTTGTGTGATTATAAGAGCTAATTTTATCTAATTGTTGAAACTAATTAAACGTCCTAAGTCACATCTTAAACATTTTACAGAACTGAAGAAAAAACTAAGACAATTAATTGTACATTTCACAAAAACTTCATTTATTAATGATGACAGTTTTGCCAGTAAAGGCATCATCAGGTACAGACTGAAATAATTTGTAAACAGGTTTATATATAGTTTAACCAAATAGATACATAAGTTAAACAGGATGTTAAATAAAAACGAAAATTAAAGAACATTCTAGAAGCTGGGAAATTAAGGAAAATGGATTCAACCCTTGCATCCTACCTTACTGAAACTAAACACCAATTTTATCTAGAAAAAAAAGCTGAAAAAATTTTACATATTTGTGAAAAAGTAAAAACAATTAGATAGCCTGGACATTTTATAAACAAATAGAAGTCTAAAAACTAATCCAGAAAAAGTTCTAAACGACCAAACCAGCTTAGGCTTCTCCCAACTTGTCTCAAGGTGAATGTCAAGGTCACTTCTGATTCTTTGGTTTAACATATATAAACATGTTTACAGTTGTTGTTGTTTGAAGTTAAGCACAAAGCTACACAATGGGCTATCTGTGCTCTGCCCACCACAGGTATCGAAACCCGGTTTCTAGCGGTGTAAGTCCGCAGACATACCACTGTGGGGCCATGTTTACAGACCATTTCAGTTTGTACCTGATGATGCCTTTACTGGTAGAAACCATGGTTATGAATAAATGAAGTTTTGGTGAAACATACAACTGTCTGTTGTTGTTTTTTAATCAATTCTGTAATAATGGAGTTTTACCAAGTACCACAGTTTCAAGTATCAATTACATCAAACCTTTTACTCACAAGTAAACTCTGGCCATCATGAAAGAATCACATATATGGTATATATTAATAAATTTAAACTATTTAAATAACAGAAGGGCGGTTTGTAGATCTTCTGCCATGTGTGTGTAAGTCCATGCAGCATAAATGAGCAACAACATGTGCTGGTAAGTAATTGGTCTAAAATGCCATTTATATATTTATTTTTTTACAAGTGAACTGTATACGCTTGATAAGAACATGGCAGTTATTGAGTAATAAACACCTTAAGGAAAAACATCTTCTAAATCAACTTACAATAGGCTGCATGTTGAGCTCTTGTTTCTCAATGTCACCTTGCTGGAAGAATTCACTGACAACCAGTTCTGCTACCTGTCAAAAGTTTGTAACAAAACATTAATTGCTCTATGACAAAAAAAAGTTAGTATAAGCATAAGTTATTAGATAAAAAGTAAAGAAATCTAACACTTACCACCTTTTGAATATCCCACGGTTTAGTAATTGCTGCTATGTCACATGCAGTCATTAACATGCCCCTGAAATTATACAAAATCGTAATTAGAGGTCATTTACTTTAAGCTACACTAAATCCTCTACATATTGTTATATCTAAATGTGTGTATGTTGCAATAAGAAAACAAACTAATTTAAATACTGATAGAACACTTAATAAGTTGAAAAGAAAAAGTTCTCTATAATAGGTTTGTTTGTTTGTTATGAATTTCGTGCAAAGCTACACAAAGGCTAACTGAGCTAGTCATCCCTAATTTAGCAGTGTAAGAATAGAGGGAAGGCAGTTAGTCATCACCACCACCCACCGCCAACTCTTGGGCTACCCTTTTACCAATGAACAGTGGGATTGACCATCACGTTATAATGCCCCATGGCTGAAAGGGCGAGCACGTTTGGTGTGACGGGATTCAAACCCGCAGATTGTGAGCCGAGCACCCTACCCACCTGGCCTCTGTAATAGGAGTATGCAAATTGAACTTCTACATTGTCAAGCTTAAATACTCTTAATAAGCTTCTGATTATCATCTATAAAGTCTAGTACCTTGTGTTAATCAAATATGAATCATTCTCATTTCCTTATTTATGGCATAGATGAACGTTTTCATCTCATTATGAAATGTGTTTTATACCTATTTACTTTTTAAAGGAATGTTCAAACATGTCAAGAATTAAAGTATCAACTCAAACTATCTTTTCATTTTTTAACATTATGCATATTCAAACTATAAATAGAAAAAGTTTACAGTTGATGAAAAACTTAAAACAATTAAAAACTGGCTTCATTAAAAAATATATATATCATAGTATAGCTTACTGAAAAATAACCGTGAAAATGCATTAAAACTTACTTATTGAAATCATACTATGCTAACTAGCTTTACATAGATAAATACTGATCACCCATATGGTTTACAACCAGACATTTTGTGCACCATGGACCAGTCATATTACAATAACATTTTCCACAACATTAAAAAGGGATGTTGCTTTCCTACTTCTAGTATAGCTTGTGCAATTACAGGTGGTTGTTTTAGATGCAATTAATGATATTACAATCATCAACATTTGCATGCTTGTTTTTGTCCTGACTTTTACAATAATAATAGTTAATAACCAGGATAACTGACTGAAATTTTACAATAATACAAAATAAGAGGATAACATTACAAATGCAACATTGAACTCTATTACATGGTAGAGTTAAATGTAAGAAATGATAGGCACTGATCAAGGTGCTTACTGTCTTCTTGAATACTAAATTTCTATGCTTAGGTTACAGTTCTGTAGAAGTTCCAAACTATCAAATACTCATACATATTTTTCTTAATATGTCAACATTTCTTTAAAAAATGACAAGCCTGAGGAACTTACAGGGTCTTAGACCCTACAAAATATCAAGATTGGATACTATTAAAGTTCTAGAAGCAATTAAGTTAATCCCCTCAAAACTGGATAAGCTGGATTACACAAGTCTTTCAGGTCATAGGGTGTAATGAAATCAACTTGGAAAACATGCACATTAACCTTCTACAGTGTGTTTACTGAATTTACTTCTTTATCTTAAATTACAAATTTAGGCATTAATTTCTGTCCTCTTTGTACTGAAAATGAGCTGTTTCCTCAGAAAAAATTATACATGCAGCTTTTGTATGTAATTTCGCATTTCATTACACAATGAGGTTTAAAGGCTTTAGTTTAATAGCTTATATATTATCACCAATGTTCCCTCTAATTTTTTTCAATCCACGTGTGGAATGAATTTTTTTTATGTCAAAGTAATGTGCAGATGTGCAATATCAGTTTTTTTTTTTTTTTTTTGGGGGGGGGGCATCAACTGTATTGAATCATTAGGCCACTTTGCAATACTACCAGTTGGTTATTTGGGCTTTAGGGCTATTCACTGCCAGGGTCATTAAGGCCATCAACATTCTTAGACTCCTCACCATTACTGAGGATGTGCATGGCATTTGATTGGTTGTTGTGCAGCCGTGCAGCTTAGAAGGGAACACTGATTATCACTAGCAGTTTTTTAACTAACTAGATTTTATATATATACATATATATTGCAATTGAGGAGCTTTGAAATTAACTTAGCAGCAGCAAATTAGAAATATCCTGCTAATTTTGAACATTTTTTTTTATTAGAAAGCCAAACTGACAAAGGTAATGTGCTTATCTATCATATTATTTCATCACACCTAGTAGCAAAGAAACAATCTCAGTTTTGAGACTTATTTCATTTTGAAGATCGTAAATTATTTAATATTACAGCAAAAGTTCTCTGTATTTTAAAATTTTATAATTCTAATGCAATTACAAAGCCTGCATATTTAATTTTTACTTTTCATATACAATATTCATTTGAACTATCTTGGCAGACAAAAACAGAAATATAAATTTACAAAAGGAACACAAGTTTCAGAAAATGTGAAATACATTTACTTACCTGAGGATTTCTCGCTGGTCATCCTTTTGCCAATCAAACTCTTTTGTATCTGCTAATTTAAAGAAGATACCTCGTTTCCTGGTAAAAATTTTAAAAAGCTTGTTGATCCTTTATAGTAAACTAATGTCTTCTTTTTTACACTTTCATTGAAAGTAATCCATGACATACATTGTTGATACCTCAATTATGGTATTAGTTCAGCATTCTTACAATTCAAATATTTGTTCACAGTTCAACAAGTGATGACCTGTAGTACCTGCAGGTCATCACAAAAAAATATTTCTCTAATATCTAGTTGAAGTTAATAATATATAATGTGTTTGCAAAAATTATTTTTTTTAAGTCATACACTGTAACAAAATCCTTTAAAACTGAGTAAAACTAATATTTTTGATCCAATACCTGAAGTATACAGCAAGGTCTGTAGCTAAGATGGCCTCTTCAAGAACATGAACCACTCGTGTGTACTCTTCTGTAGACAGGTGGCTTAAGATCTGATTTCCCTACTCGTTCAAAAACATAAAATTTTACTCATAAAAGAAATAGTTTTGAAACTCGTATCTAATTATAACAAACAATTACAACAAAGCTAAAATCTTACTTTGTCAAGATTTTATTGACAAACTAAGGCAACACAAGGATATATTTATACTTAAGAATCTGATTGCTAAGAAATTGCAATTTTCAATCTAAATGGCATCTTATAAACTAGTGGGCTTAAACGATTGAGTCAGAGACACCCTAAGATTCAGGTAAAGCCATTCCTAGTTTTGAACTACTGATCAGAGGAAAAGCTACTAGCCAGCAGCCTGATCACCATAAGGGCTTTTCTTCACCAGCTTTTTGATCCAAATAACAGCACAGACAATCACTTGTATAAAGTGCTTAAAACTAAAAGTGTAAAGTTTGTACAATGGTATTATGTCTCAAGTCAGCTTGTTTAAGAATGTTTCAGCTTTAGCTCCAGGAAATTATTACATAGTTTCTTTGTTCTGAAGGTTGTTGAAGAAAACAAATTTAATTAAAAAGATAAAAAATAACTTTTTTGTTACTATACCAAAAACAAGTTTCATAACTGAAAAAAAAGAGATGATAAGCAAAATTTCAAAATTAGCATTTTTACAACTGAATTTTGATTTAAATCTGCACAGAAAAGATCTTTAATGAATTAAACATCAGACTTGTTTCTTCTCTAATGAATTCTATAAACAGATTTATCTCACAGTAATGCAATAAAATTACTGTATATAATGATACAAAAAACTATAGTCAAAGTTAGGAAGCATAAAATAGCAAATTGTTAACTTAGGATTAACTCCTAGTTCAGAATATTCAGGGAAACAAAACAAAAATTGTAATTGGCTTTTTTTTCACTTCCATTGCAAAATTTAATTGAAATGAAAGTTTTATTTCTATATGACATCGCATCTATAAATTAATATTTACATGTAGCTCTGAAACAGAAATATAAGCAATTATTAACAAAACTTAGAAAATATTACTGACAGAAAAATTAACTTCTTGAATGATTTACACACAACAAACAACAAGAATATAAAATTATACAATCAAAGTACCATTTGATCAGAGAATTTAAAGCAATTAATTAGAAATTTAAAAACTAGGCCAGATCTAATAGGTACATGTGTTTCTAAGCAAAATTTGGAACTTACAGAACAAAAATATTAAATAGTCACAACTGAACAAATATTGCATGAAAATAAAAATCACTGTACACATGAGAAGAAAACAACACAGAGGAATTATCCAAGACAAGTTTATCATCTTATGCAATGAATCAAGTTGAAAGGACTGTCATGATCAAAGATTAATGGTATGATTAGTTAATCACAAAAAAACATCTTCAATATAATAAATTTTGTCAACTTTTGATTGAATTTCACAACTATTATCTAGGTGTCCAATATCTTCTTGAAACTTTTGTTTATAATACATTAGCAGTCTTAACTTCAAAATAACTTCAAATTATCAGTATAGTTCTGAACCAACCAATTACATTAGTTGTTTTTTTGTTGTTTTATTTAATTATTTGTGTATTACCTGCTTATGCCAGATGATGGTCCATAACACTTCTTTGTTTCAGCTAAAAGCTCTATAAAACAGCATCTTATCTGACAAACTATTATTCTGAAATTAAACCTTAAAGTTGACAACTTAAATCTTTTTTTTCTTCTGACTGTAAGTAAAATTAAGTAAACAAAATATATAGTATACTGGTCGATACCATGATATAAGTTGATTAAAAAAAAACAGGAAATTCCTAGAAAAACCGCAAAAAAATACTTATACTGTTATTGTTTTGAACAATGAAGATTGTATTAGTAAAGCACATATTCTGATAGTTCTCAATTTACTTGGGTAAAATAAATCACGTATTTAAATGAAGAATCAAAGGCAGAAATATATTTATTGTAATTACAAAAAGAATTTTTCATTGCTGAAGATGTTTATCTTAATTTAAACACAATAGTGTAGCTAGGGGTTTTAAGTTAGCTGCTGCTTTAGCTTTTGTTTGCAACTAACCATGAAAAAAATGTTTTTGTTTGTTTGTTTTGAATTTTGCACAAAGCTACATGAGAGCTATCTGTGCTAGCTGTCCCTAATTTAGCAGTGTGAGACTAGAGGAAAGGCAGCTAGTCATCACATCCCATTGCCAACTCTTGGGCTACTCTTTTACTAATGAATAGTAGGATTGACCATCACATTATAATGCCCCCACGCCTGAAAGGGAGAGCATGTTTGGTAGAACGGGGATTCGAACCTGTGACCCACAGATTGCGAGTCGAGCACCCTAACCACCTGGCCAAAAAAAAAGAAAGGTTTAAATGATTTCCTTAAAAATTCAAACTTCTATACTATTCTACATATGCTTGGTTTCAAATGGTTGCGATAATAAATCTGTTTCAGTCACTTTAACAGTACACATATGGCAATCACATTATTAGACTTTCAGTTAAATGTCCAAAGAGAGTTAAAGTAATTTTTCTTGACTGCTTCATTCCTGCTTTGCTTCATAATTATACTAGACTTTAGATAATTACAACTAATCATAAATTTACACATTTTGCTGAACTGTTTTCAATTTATATTTTACAACAAAATTCAAAGCTAATTTGGTGATACATTTGCACAAGTATTTGAGATTAATGAAAATTTCCAGATAGTTTATGAAAAAGCAAGTAACATTAGGATATTATAACACTTTTCTCTAGTCTTAATGAGGTTGTTCTAACCTTAAAATACATCAACCAATATACAAGTATATTTTTCCTTGGTGTAATTATTAGGTGCACACACCTTCATACTTTTCCATTCTGAAAGAGAGTTTGAGGTCATTTATCTTTCTTGCTAAGTTCAGCACTCAGGATATCTTTGCACTGCAGTAGAGTGAACCATGATATAAAGATACATAGGCTCATTTTAGGTAATAAAAGCTATAATATTAGGCATTCACAAAACAGTTTTTAAATTTAAATATCAACATGGGGCACCAGGACTATCAAGAAAGAGACCTGAAACGATTCACAACTCAGCTGGGGAGCGAGGCATGTTATGATGCGTGGCAGTGAAAGCCGCAAGGAAGCTGTCGCGCTGATGTCGCTGGACTCGCCCAGAGGACTTGTCCCGAGTGCTTGTGTATGTATGGCTTAGATGCTGTGCCCCCTCCTGTATGTGCTCCACCATTTTCGTATTCATGGCGTGTTAGATCCCACTTTTGTCCCCATTTTCTTGTAATAATAATTCATGATTGTGTGGCAGCTAAGCATTGGTAGAATTATCGATGTACTGCTGTCTATGATGATGATGATGATGTAGTAAGCAAAGTGAGTGTAGTATCTTGTAATAAGCAAGAATACATTAACACAAAGGTCAGTTGTAAAAGCCATCCACGTGACCCAGACAACAGTACAGAAGTTGCTTCCATGACATATTTGTTTAATTGATACATACTAGTAAATTCAATGTACACCGCATCTATGGATATGTATGCACTTAGAGTATTGTGTGTGTGTGTGTGTGTTTTCTTATAGCAAAGCCACATTGGGCTATCTGCTGTGTCCACAGAGGAGAATCAAACCCCAGATTTTAGTATTGTAAATCCATAGACTTACCACTGTCCCAGCAGGGGACTTTGGAGTATTGAAACTTATTCTGGGAAACCATCATCTTCATTAATTAGATGGGTTATGAAAGCTTTATGACAGAGTCTTTTGCAACAAAAACTATGCTGCAGGCCTATTGTCAAGATTTAGGGTCATTAGATAAAGCATGATGGACATGGAATAATGGACTGTAATGCCATAGTGAGGCTCCAAAATCATTTTTAATATAACATACTAAACCTTTGTAAGGTGGCAACTAAATGGGGTATTAGACAAACTAAGCAATATATTGCATGTAGATAAAACAAGGTAAAGTAAATATAACATATGCTTGAAAAATACATATTTAAAATAATACTCAGTTTGTGTTATACACTAAGACCATAACTGAATATTTTTAATGTACAAAGTTTGTGAAAATCAAGATCTCACCTGGGTGTTTAGTATCATTATACATTGGTCAAAATGGTGATGTTCCATAGTGGATGTAGAGTAGAGCTGAGCAAGGGGTGAACAGGATCTGACAGAAAGAGACAGGAGGAACTGAAACTAAAGTAATAAAGCATCTAGATTATCTTATAAGCAATTGTACTAGTTAATATACTACTCATCAAAAAGGTTGGTCAATACTTGGAACAAAAGAAATTATATGCTCAATTTCTCTGCTGAAAGGTAAGATAAAATATGTGTTTGAATCTTTTTACTATGCGATATAAAAATTAATTCCTACTGCCTGATGGAAACAGTGTACATATAGAATGAACTTAGCAACTAACAGAAACCTTTGGGCTAGCACTGTATGAACAGTATTGGATATAGTAATAGAAGCAGTAAATAAAATGAGTATTAAATGTAGGTATTATAGGATTGCTCCACCTTTATTGTATGTAAATTAGCTGCATCAGATTACAGTCATGTACTTATAGTTTACCATACTTTGTGATTGGTTGTCATCCAACTAATCAAAGAGTACCAAAGAGTGCCTATAAAAGTACATGAAGTTGTATCATACAAGTAATAATGTGGTGAATACACTCATGACTCCCAGGACAGAAATGCCAAAAGAAAAAAAATATAGAAACTAAAGTATCAGCTGGTGAAGACTACTCCAAATGTATTGAGGTTAAATTTCAAGCTTCGGTAGAAGCTGCATTGAAACTGAAAAAGGTATATGAAACTATTGCTGTTGATGATAAAAGTGATCAAGATAAAAAGTCCAAACTCTTTAAACGTGGTATTAAGTAACTCGGGGTATTTTCTTTACATGACACAAAACAATCCAGAAAAGATCTTGCCAAAGATCAAGCTTAAGTGCATGTGTGAATATTACTTCCAGAACAGTAACATGGACATTAGCACAAAGTGGCCTCAATGGATGTGTGGTTGCATGCTGAAAAACCACTGCTTGGGGTAATAGATAACCAAAAGCCTGAAATAGACATCTGACTTCAAATAATAAGATAAGAAAAGTTTGAGGGGGTGCTCTATACAGGTGAATCTAAATTCAACTTGTTAGTTAACATTCAATGATAGTTCATCTGATGACAGAGAGGAGAACAGTATTAAGATCAACATACAACATCTACAGTGAAAACATGCTGAGGAACAAATACAAGTATGGGCTGCATCTTGGTCAATGGTGTTGGAAATCTGCACAAAACTGATGACATACTGGCAGCTGACAGATAAAAGTAGATTCTTATCTATCACATCATTTCTAAAAAACAAGACCTATTGGGCAATGATCCATTTTCTAGCAAACGTAATGATAGACCTGGAAGGAAACAAAGCTGTTGGAACACTTGTTACCATGGCTTGTCCTGTATAAAACCCTTACATGAATATTACTGAGGTTGTATTGCTTTATATGGAAACTGAGAAAATCAAAGGACAACCAAACTACTTGGTTGAATTTTGGGGCATAATGCAAGACATTTGGGATATTACTTCACAATCATCATTGATAAACTTAAAGTAGCTTAAAAACAAAATGTACAGCTTTGTTTAAAACAAATACAATTTTACTGCTTTATTCAAAGTGAACACAAAATACTAATACATTGTAACTTGTATGCTTTTTTTTTAGCATTTTATGCTAATGATATATTGCTTATTGTTTGTGTATCAGATTAGCATTTCTATAACTATTTCCAATAATGCACCTCAATACTGAGTCACAAAGAATCGTAAGATCCAAGACTATATACAAATGTTTATAATTACTTGAACAGTTTAATTGAAGCAAAGTTTTCTTGGATTAAGCAACTAAATAATCTTTTAATTCTACAATTAAATATTACTTGTACACAAAAGAACTGAATGACGTTTTCAGTCATACATTTTCATGGTTTTTTAATGTATATACAAATGAATATTTTTATTTTAAACCTAGTAAAAATCTATCCTCAGTAAACAAAGATGTATGACTGAAAAAGTTTTATATTTGAAATCTAATAAGAGATACAAATTTTGTATCTTAACAGAACAGATTACAAAAGAGTTCAAACTTGCTTTATATATATATATATTAGAAAATCTGTCTGTTTCATTCAATTCTGCTATTCAAGGCTAACTACATTAGCTATCCCTAATTTTGAAGTGATATACCAGAGAGAAGGTAGCTAGTCAACATCCTCAAGTTGTGGCTACTCTAATCAAATAGTGGGATTTGACAGTCACTATTACAATGCATCCATGGCCCCAAAGTGCAAAGCATGGTTTCTTTTTGGCAGTAACAGGGTACAAATCATAGAAACTCAAATCCACAATCCAGTACACTAACCACTAGGCCTTGCTTGCCTCTTTATAAAATCTGAAAGTTTACAAGACATGAATACTTTCGATAGAAAGTACTACTGCTAAAAACTTAGTTAGTGTTAAATAAAAGTAATTATAGTTTTCAGCATGCAATCAATAGACGTCACTGATCCTTAGCAAAGCTTAAATGTTTTTGTAGGGATAATGTGCAATATATTTGTATATTTTAATATGCTTTTTCTATTTAATTTCTTCAACATCCATGTGATTAGGAGTAGCAAGAGTATGCTTAAAGTGCATTGAGAACTTTAAGCACCCTGTGTAGAAAACTGAGTGTTGAGATTGAAGGAAGCACAGAGTACAGTTATCGTATTTGGTTTTGGAGGAAATGATTGAAGACCTGGGAGACTTCTGTAGTACTGTCTAAGTGAAAAGAAAACTGCATATTATCTTTGATAAAAGCTAGCACTGTGCAAGAAGTGTTCAGTGTGAGAATCACTGCATGTTTTAAACATTTGTTAAATAGATAGTTCTTTTATCATATTCTTATCCAGCTACATAGTTATAATAAATGTTTACTTAATTTGGAAGGAATTGTTGGTTCCTCTGTGGTCCAGATCATGGCACAAACAGGCTACAATAAGAGCTAATGTCTCTAATTCTCCAAGAACTCTCAACAGCTTTGTATTCTGCCAAAATGTAAACAAAAAGTAACTTACTTTATTAGTTTCATTGTAACTTAAAAAAGGTATTATATAACAATGAAATTTAATATTTAACCTTAAAAAGTAGCAAATACAATATTTCATACAAAATATATATGTTCGAGATATTTTATTACTGCAAAATGAGTACTCATCTCCAAAGGAATAAAAATATGAGGGTTTTTCAGCTTTCAATTTACTGTATCTAATTTTACTTACCTTTTATTTATCGTGTTCTCCTTATCGCACAGATGTTGAAAAACCAGAAAATTACTTACACTCTTGTTCACCCATAAAAATTTCACATTTCAAATACCATGTACATTTATTGTTCACATTTAACCCTCAGTCAGTGTCAAGTTCATCAGAAACATCATTGGTGATTATTGGATCATCCTGAACACCTTCAAGTTGGAAAGATGGTCTTGTGAGCCTTGTGCCACTGGGGATACAAGAAGTATATTGATGCTATTTGTGCCCATCATCCCACTACTCTTGTATCTGTATAGCATTATACAGGAAAAACCAGGCTAGTATAGACTGGTCACTCTGACTGCCATACTGAATTATGAGAAAGTAAATATAACTTGAAATGTGGCAGGACTGAATCTTTGCACAGAGAAGACTATCCCTTTCACTACTGACCCACACGTCATACATTCCGTCCTCACACAGATGTTCTTGTGTGTATGACAATTGTGAGAAAGTGGTGTATTTTGGGACAAAATATTGTATTGCTTTAATATTTTACCACTTTTACCTCTTTTGTGCTAAATTTTCAGACTTTACAATCTGTTGGATTATTTTGAATTTTCCACCACTTTGAGCATGAGTTGTGTGACAGCAAAATCAGATCTTGCACTTTGTATAAGTGTAAGCTGACAGCAGTTGCAAATACCACTGACAATTCTCATGCAATTACCAATGCAAGGAATTTGTAAATTGGTAAGTACCATGTCTTAACATTTTGGAATATGCATGTTCAGTAAATGTTGCATCGTTATTTTGCCCATCAACAAGATATAGATCAAGGACCAACAGAATATACTCATCAGTGAATACAGCTGTAATTGTCTGCTAGCCACTTGTGTGTAGCATAGCATTGCACTTTTCTGCATACACACACACACATATATATATATTATAAACTAAAATGGCCATACCATTGTTCTCTTCTGCCAAAAGATTTCATACAAGAGAATGAATGTGGTAAGATATAAATGCCTGGTGAGTGATATGTCTAAATCAAACATATAAATTAACAAAACTTCTTTCCTAAGCTGAATGAGTTGGGTCTAGTGCTTTCTTTACATACAGAATTATGTTGGAAATCTTAGTATAGAGTTTAATGAGCAGAAATCTCGAACAAGTTCATGCAGAGTTTACTTGAATATTTCTGAAAGATGGAATCCTGGAATACAAGTGAGGAAATTGAGTTTTGTTTAGTCCAGTCAGATTAAAGAACTCACTGTAGGTTAGCTTGTGAGATCCATCAAAGTCTGTTTCACAAATCTTTGTTACTTCTGCATGTGCATTCTCTAAAAAATCAAACATCTTTGTTATCATACAACTGATATGATATTTCGTTTTTGCATCTATCACCAGGCACAAGTCAGATGTATACTTTCTGTCCAGTTGAATCTTGCATTACAAAGCTCCAGTATAGACGACAATACCATGCATAACAATTAAAAAATAACTGAGTTCATAAATCAAATGATGCAATCCACTGAACATGTTTGGTCACATTATACTTTTGGTATGACTGTTGCTTGCTAACCTGATTTTCAGTCTTAAATGCTGTGAGCTTGTACAATATGGTTGCTCAAGGATGCAAGAAGAATGTGAAAGGAGAGCATAACTTTGAGCTCTTCTATGAGATATGGGGATATCAGGTGGATGGCTTTAGAATAATAGCATTGTTAATAGAATTTGATACATATGATGCCAACACTGGCAGGACTTTTCCTCTCTCTTTGAATGTATATTCTTAGCTCATGTTTATTGGTTTAGGTTCGCACTTCAAATGGCATAAGACACATCTGTATTTGTTTGGCAGCATGATTAGATGGTGTCTTGCTACCATCATTTTTGGCTCCACAACTATAGAAATGTCTCCATTTCATTGGATAATGAAAATTTTCATGCATCACCATGCAAATAGCTCACCTGAGAAAATGTGATTTCATTGGCTGATGTATAGTATGGATTAGTGTAGATTTGTTCAGTGTGACCTTTTGCATCTTGTATATTTGCATCACAAAAAAAAAGGTTTAAATATTTCAAAATATGACAAAAGACAGATCCTGAAAATTTAACACAAAAAACAGTTTTCATGACAAAACATCCAGCAATACCTTTACACAATACCATATTTTTATATTTGATAATGATAAAAAGCCTATTGAAAACTAAAGTTGCTTAAAGATGGTGCCCACACAAAAAAAAATATTGATACTATGTAGGAAGAATATTAAACTGAAAAGAATATTATACAAGTAAGCCTATAAAAAATTTGATACAGATGTAAAAAATGATGTGGCAATAGATGTATTCATTTCTGCAAATAAACTTTGTAGTATGTTTCCTCACAAATAAAATTTCCATAGTAAGGGTAAATATTTATTTTTGGCCATCATACATAGGCAAAAGTTTAATGTCACAGACCCTTGTCTTTTATTTTGGCTGTTTCTAAAATATGGAAATAGAATTAATGTAAAATAAAAGCCAAATTATTGTTTTTGCTATGTAAAAGCCGATTTATTGTTTTGAAATATTTAATTATTATGAATTTGAACAATGTTTTAAAAATGTGATTGCATATAATTTCACTTAACTAACTCCTAGTTTTGAAAATAATTTCCCAATCTCTTGAGTCAACATCCCATGGTAATAGCAATACAACAAACACAACTGGTCAAAAAATGTTTGAGAAAATGAAACATATTCAATACAACAGTATCACTAGGGTGAACTTTATTATTTCTATCATACACAGTATTGAATGATGCACCCACTATTACATTACCTTATCCTACAAAGTAATATGTAAAAACTACGAATCAGCAATTAGTCTTTATCCTATTCAACAACAGTGAGTATGTACCTCTATAAAACTACTATTATTTCATCATATTGTACATTTCTGAGGGAAATAAAATATACACCTCATACTACTTCATCCCATTCTGCAATGCTAAGTATGTACTGCTATTAAAGTGCTATTACTTCATCCCATCCTGCAATGCTCAGTATTTACTGCTATAAAAGTGCTATTACTTCATTCCATCCTGCAATACTAAGTATGTACTGCCATAAAAAATGCTATTACTTCATCCCATCCTGCAATGCTAAGTATGTACTGCCATAAAAAAGTGCTATTACTTCATCTTATCCAGCAAGCCTTGGTCTATTTCACCATTTTAGAAATACCAGTTCTCTCCATGCAAGAAAAACCAGCTTTTGACATTCGAGTAAAACCAGCTTAGCAAGTATTCACAACCTCTCCCACCTGCTGTGCAGTTTCCTGTCTTCAGGTTTTGACACCAGCACTTTCCCTGGATGCCTTGAGGCCCGACATCAGTCACACTCACTTCACTCATGCCAAGCCTGCTAATCAATCAACCACTTACTTAACATCTCTTACACTCTGTCAGTAAAACCCACTTCAGCCACTTAAAGTTTCGACCACTAGCTACAAGCTCACAATCACTATAAAGTCTAAATCTTAATATCCGTGTTTGGGGTCAAAGAGAAACTCCTTGTCTCTGAGCACACCAATTATCTTTCATGCCTCTTTGAGGCATGAAAGATTTTAAATCAAAATAACCGTCAAGTTTAATCATCATAATCCTATCCTGCAGAGTGCTGAGGGAGTAAAACTATGCACCTAATACTACTTTATCCCGTACTGCAGAGTGCTGAGTATGTACCACTATAAAAGTGCTATTACTTCATCTAATCCTGAGGGAGTAAAACCATACACCTAATACTATTTCATCTTACATTACAGAATGATTAGCATGTACCACTACAAATCTGCTATTACTTCATCTGACCTTGAAGGAGTAACACCATGCATCTAATACTACATCATCTCATACTGCAGAGTGATGAGTATACAGCACTATCAAACAACAATTACTCAATTCTGGAAGTACCACTGCGGACACACTTTTCAACTTTAAGCTTAACTGAAGCTAGTTCAAAGCTGTTACGATATAAAAGAAAAAAAAATGTTATTTTCAACAGCCTACATATTTGTTTGATTGAGGAACTCCAAAGTATAACCAGTAAAATCACAAACTGTATTAACTTGCTGTTTGCACCAACTATTCAGTTTTGCATAGAACTTGATCTAGACCTTCTGAAAGTGTTTAGTTTTTATAAAACATGTGCACTTGTTTAGTCTGTTTAGCATTAAATTATGTATATTTTATAATCTCCAAAAGCCAGCCAAGCTTAATTTCGTAACAGTAAGTTTCTGAATTCAGTTGCACAAATATGGATCATTATCATTTGTATTTAAATTCTAAATACTTTTGGTGGAACAGTTATTAGAAAAGTACTAGAGGAAGTGTGTAACCAAAACTGTTTCACTACTTTCAATCACATTCTTAGTCAGATAATTTTGATGCATTCTAGTATTTTGGTGGAAATCAGTATCTATCTGCTGTTGAAATTATATTTACAATATACTGTTGCCTCCACATGAAAAAAATATCAAGCTAGCTCATTGGCTTTAAATGAGGAATAACTTACTAGACATATCCTGCCATTAAAATTAAAGTTCCTTTTTTTCAATATGACTTTCCTTCAATTTCAAAAAATTAAAATTAAAAACACTTCATATATATTAAAAACTGCTTTGAAACTGATAAACAAAATAACATACTTTACACAGTACTTTCACGCTCATAATATCAATAAAAAAATTGTCTGAAGAGCACAGCCACTCCTGAAAAAAATTTGGCTTTAATGACATAGATTATTCTATCTGCTCAGCATTTTAATTTTTTGTATGTACAATACATATAATGAAGATGGTTGATAAAACACAAAATATTTTATTTAAAAGGTTTTGAACATTCGAAATACATACATTCAATCTTCAGCAAAATCTGAAAATTGTGTTACAAAGATGATTATTAGCTAAAATTATAATATCATAATCACTAGTTTACTCAGTTATTAAGTCAAGTAGTAAACAGACGGATAAAACAATGATTATATAAATATATATACATATTACACAACAATTGAGTTTAAGTGTGCATAAACAAATCTTGGAACTTCTTGTCATCTCCATAAAGTTAAAACATTTCCTCTTTAATAACTTAATTTATGACCAGATAGATGAAATCGCCATGAGATCTCCATTGGGTCTGACAATAGCCAATAGATGTCTACGCTATCATGAAGCAAGTGACTAGAAAACTGTCCACATGAATTCAAACCTGTCCATTACAAATGCTATATTGATAACACTTTGTTACTGTTTCGACAAACAAGTCACTTTCTAAGTTCCTTTCATACCTTAATTCCCAACACGTCAATATCAAGTTCACATCCGAACTCAAAGAAAATTATACCTTACCATTCCTAGACGTCAGGATTACCGAAAAAAAGATAAACACTTTTCTATTTCTACCTACTTTTACTAGATTCTACACCAATTTCAATAGTTTTATCCCTAACTTCCTCAAACATAATTTGGTTATATCATTGTTAAACAGAATTTTTAACCTTTGTTCTAATTATTTTATTTTACATATAGAAATTACCTTTCTACATAAACACATGTTAAATAATGGCTACTTGATTGATTTTCTAACAACGATTACATGCAATTTCCTAAACAACAAATTCCAACCACCAGCTAATGTGCACACCATCCCCAAATTTCCCATCATTATCTCCCTTCTTTTTATGGGTTCACAATCCCTACAAATTAAAAAACAACTCTCTTCTCTAATAAAAAACCTTCTATCCTCAAATTCAGCTCAGAATAATATACAGACCTAGCGTCCACATTAACACTTATTTCAATACAAAGATCAACTATCTAAACTTCTACATTCATGGCTCATGTATACATGTATGTGTACTGACTGTAAGGTCACGTACATTGGCAAAACTAAACACCACTTAAAAACTAGAGTCTGTGAACATTTAGGAGTATCTAACAGAACCGACTATCCACTACTTAAATCCAGCCACTCATCCAATCATTCACATTCTGAAACCATAGGTCACAATATTTCATTTATCGATTTCTCTATCATTATTACAGGATCTTCAGACCTTGAACTCTATATTAAAGAAAGTTTACTCATAGCTAAAAAATGTCCAGCTCTTAATGACTCACAAAGCTCTTTGGATCTAAAAAATTGTTCTAAATTTTCACACTTAAACTCAACTGTTGTGTATAATATATATAATCATTATTTTATCTGTCCATTTACCACTTGTCTTAATAACTAAATAAACTAGTGATTATGATATTATATTATAATTTTAGTTAATAATCATCCCAACTAAATAAACTAGTGATTATGATATGATATTATAATTTTAGTTAATAATCATCCCAACTAAATAAACTAGTGATTATGATATTATATTATAATTTTAGTTAGTAATCATCCCAACTAAATAAACTAGTGATTATTATATTATAATTTTAGTTAGTAATCATCCCAACTAAATAAACTAGTGATTATGATATGATATTATAATTTTAGTTAGTAATCATCTGTGTAATACAATTTTCAGATTTCACTGAAGATGGAATGAATGTATTCTGAAACATTCGAACCTTGTAAATAAAATGTTTTGTGTTTTGTCAACCATCTTCATTATTAGACTTTGGTTTCCCCAACATGAATCCATTGCTAGTGTTATAATATATACATATGTTAATCAGCATTACCCATACAAGAGTGTCATCTCACAAAAAGACTTGAGGGGGAGGGGGCAAAGAAAACTGGTCTCATGTGATTCTGAAACTCAGCTGGGGGCCCTATACTAAGGTATAATTTGTGTACGTCTGTTAATCTGACTACTTGAAATTTCTCACAGAAACTACCATTTGGGGCTCCTTCCAGCTTGAGGGGAGAAGCTGCTACTGTTGCCACCATCCCCAAAATGATGCCCCTGATTACAATACACACTATTCATTATTTTACAGGCTTACCGTCAGGACCGCAAACATTACTTGTGCAACATTGAAGGCATGTCTCCAGTTATGGTATGTTACTTGTCTGTAATTTTTTTTCACACTCAACAACCATCTGCACAAGACCTAAAATTTAGGGAGAAATACAGTGTAATGGAAAAATACGGAGATAATGTGTGTCAATAACAAAAGAAAAACATCAAAACCTACTGTTTATTTAAAATTTTCATAAAGATATCTCTTAATTTGAAAAGTAATAAAATATTCAAATATTGAATATTTACATAACTAAGACAACCTTGAAACTGATTACATAAGAATTGATAAGTATTCTAAAATTTTATATTTAGCAAATATCATCAAACTAGTTAAGTATTTAATAGCATGCATTTCTAATGATATCTAACTTCAAACCTCTAGCATTTTGAAAAACTTACAAAACTCACTGAGAACAATTTTTGAAGAAAACTTTATTTTACCTTAATTTTTAAATCAATTACATTATTTTATGATTGTTTATAAACTTTATAATTGTTTACCATAATTAAAAGTCAACAAAACAGCAGCAAGTATCAAATAATTAGTCTTATGACTTAAATTTTTTCAACATACTTCATTAATTTTCAAAAAGATATGAATGAAACAGTTTCAGAAGGTTAGATGTTAGTCAGTAAATACTTGATCTAGTTTTTCATTTAAGTCAACGAGTCTGTGTTTCAAGCTTTAATTCAAATTCTATTGAAAATGTACAAGTCAAGCATGTAAAATTAAGTTATGCATAATTACAATTAACAAAGAGTTTAACATCAAATGCATCAAGTAACAATAAAAATATTTATAAATAACCTTAATACTAAACAAACCTAGATTGTCATGGAAGAAAGAATTAGGAATGACATGTAAATTCCAATTCAATAGATAACAAGTAATAAAATAAAATAACATTTTTATTAAGTACCTTATATTCAATATGGAAACGCTCTATCAAGTCTAAATCAAGAAACATCCGCAGACAAGCTTTGCACATATCTTCTTCTTCAAGACTAAAATCATTAAATTTGAGCTCATGCAATTTGTATGCTTGAGTAGAAGGAATTAAAACAGTCTGTAGAAGAAAAATATTACATCCAAGTGAGTTTCACACACACACAAAATTAATCATGTGCATTATTGACTTAAGTTCTAAATTTAAAAATAACTTAAACTTGGGTAATGATAAAAATCCAACCATTCACTTTTAGTTACTCTTTTTTTAAGACTTTCAGTAACTTCAAATGGATTCAAGTAACAAACTTTTTTAAAATAAATATTCTTTTTACAGGCCAGTTTAATGTGTAGTTGGATTTCAAGAAAGAAAAATGGAAAGAAAGTAATGAAAAATGAAAAAGGGAATTTACATTAAATATCAATATTCCAATTAACTGCAAAAGAGAAAGGAAACTTTTTGAATTAGTAGTTTCCAAAATTGTTCAAGAATTTAATGTAATTACTCATACTTTTCACTTCACTATACATATGAATTTTAAGTGTATATATATATACACACACACAAATATGTAGCATAAGAGTTGGCTTGTTTCAATTTGAGCAAAGCTACACGAGGGCTATTTGCACTAGCCATCCCTAATTTAGCAGTGATAGACTAGAGGGAAGGTAGCTAGTCAACACCATCCACCACCAACTCTTGGGCTACTTTTTTTATCAATGAATAGTGGGACTGACTGTCACATTATAACACCCCCAGAGCTGAAAAGGCAAACATGTTCGGTGATGGGGATTTGAATCTTCAACCCTCAGATTGTGAATCAAGCACCTTAATCACCAGACCCAATAGAATAAGATATTATATTACTAAACATAAACTATTTATTCACATAAAAGTGAAGTCACATCCTGAATAAACATCTCTCTGCTTTCACTTCAGAGCATTTCTAGTTCATGTTCACAAATCTAATCTAAAACTTCCTTATTTTATTCATTTAAATAATTGGAATGAAGAATTAATTTAAAACTGGTATTTTATTATATAATTGCAATCAAAATGTAAATGTATTTAGATGGTATTTATAAGGACACTTAGCAACATCTATTTACAAAAATAAAGACATCTCTCACACTAAGATTCTGTGCTTCTTCTAAGGGAGAAGTAGCATGATAAGACAGGACTTCCAGAGTTACTCTTTGCTTGGCCATAGCTTTTATAGCTTTCTCATACATTTGTGTATTGTGAATACCCATGCCACAGAAAATAGCAAATGCCTAATAACAACAAATACGTGATTTAGCAAAAACATTTACTGGCACACACATTTGAAAGACTATTCAAATTATAAACTATGTTGTTATGGCTTAATACATAACTATTCTGATCTCTTTAAGCACAAGACTTGTAATTACAATAAAAAAAGCTAATATAATACAACAGAAAACATTTTTTGTTATATTTTGGAATAAAGTTACATGTTTTAGTACTAAAAAACATAAATAAGAAATAATTGTAATGCACTAAAAAACTAACATCAAATATGCATTTTCAGCATATGGAAAAATGCAACTGTAATGCTTTAATATATATAGAAAAATAATCTATCAATAACATTTTCCTAATAAGTTAAATAACCTGAAGTTTTACCAAAAAACAATTAAAAATCTCTAGATATCGGTAACCATAGCTAATATCAGTATGTAAAATTGGTAAATAAATTGAATGAAAAATTTTTCATTTTATCCAAAAAAATTGTTAGCTTAAAGTTAATTATTTTTTAAAATTGGAATATTAATCACAAGTACAAGTTACATCAACTGATAAACTATGTACTGATATTTATCACACAATATTACATTTCCAGCTATTTTTTCACAAGGGGTATTTTCTATTACACTTCTTCCACAATACTATTTTTCAAATGAACATTTATGTTCCCTAGAAATTTCTCATTTTGAATTACAAAAACAGCTTCTCACCTCAAATAGATTTTCATCATTTTTATTGAAAGGTGTTCCATTAAGTTTGTTGATCAGCTGGCTCACACCTATGATCTTCCGATTGGCATTCCAGATGGGCATGCATAGGATACTACAATGTCGGAATGAGCTGCCCTCATCAACCTGGAGCATCAAGATGGATGGATCGGCAAACCTTATGCTTTAAAACGCAAGTATCAAGCAGTTTGGAAAATCTCCAGTCCAGATTAAGTTTAGATTAAATGCATTATGCATGTACTTTGGCAATTAATAACATGACCATAAGCTGCCATCTACTATGAACAAGTAACTACTATCTTATTACTTTGAAAAATATATTTATTTTTCAATAATACTTATCACTTGCATGCTCAAATTATACCCTAATCATTGAATACTTTTTGTTAACAAGAAACTTAAATAGCTTAAAATAACTGATTCTTATATTTTTTAAAGTTATCAAAGTGTATCAGAAGTTCTGATATTAAGTTCAGTCATTTAATTCCATTCTTTTTTGGGTTTAAACATACACAATGTTTTCCACTAGATAGACGAAATAGATCAAGGCAAAATATTTATAAAAACAAATTTTCCAAACTTAGTAGTACAATGTGACTAAGAAACAAAATAAAAATTTTGATTTAATGACCTAGGTTTAGCAGATAAATTTTGAAAAAACACTAAAAGTATCATTACTTCATAAATGATAAAAAACAATCAAAATATTGATTAATAAGTAGAACATTCAGAGTGGCCTCTTTTAAGAGACTAGAATTTGTGGTGAGAAGAATTTAGAAAAATAATACCAGGTGTTGCAGTCATTAGAAACCTACCTAATAAAAGGAAGCTTTATCTAAACACAAATGAAAAGGTAAAAATAGGTTGAAATTTACCACCTGGTAACCTGTTTGCTATTTACCAAAAAACTATTTTACTTCTCGAGGAACTCCTAAAATTACACTTGTAAATGAGTTGAATTTGTAAATGTTTCAAATTGTGCCTAGACTAAAGCTAAATATGCAGGCATATATATATATATATATATATATA